TACTGTAATTTATAGTGTAAATAGACCAATCGTGTAGGGACCATTTTGATCCTATCTGTGACTGTGTTGAATAAAGTTTTTCCCTGATACGTTCATCGATTTGATGTTATCTCTTGGTTATCTACATATTACGAGCTTACTGAAAAGCTGCTCAGGAACTTTTGAAATAGAAAAGATTTCTTCATAGAAAGACCATCACTGCGATTCATTTCAACCTAACGACTTTCCATTTATTTTTTTTAAAAGGCCCCGGACAAGTACGGGTTCGGGTCCCGTCCGAGGCTGAAGTTTGGTCCATAAATTGCCAACTTATTACTCTTCAGCATGAATGTCACCTATGCACACTGTTTGAAGCGAAACCATATTTATCATTCATAATTTACTTGGTACTATAAAAATTACCTGAGTAACGAGAGTACCCGTACAACTACACATCACAGTTCTTATAGTTTCTGTACAATCAATTAAATTTTGCAAACTTTCCACAGATCACCGAGGGCAAAATCAAGTGCGTCGTGTCGATGAAGAAAGTTTCCGTTCGAGTCGACGGAGATTCTCTTTGGCCACGTTGTTCGATGGATCAAGCATCAGCGACTTCTCATAGAATCGCTTGGCTTCTTCAAGTTTCCCAGTCAAATGTAGTATGGCTCCGTAATCGCTCAACGTTTCCGAAGTCGGATGATGGTTCATCAGAGTTCGCAACACCTGAAGAAGTGGGAAGTAGTGGAGAATAAGCACCTTTTCAGAAAATTAGAAGAACTGAGACTTGATGTTGAGGGAAAACATCGTCATTCAAGTTTGTTCATGACGTGAAAATAGTTCGGACCTAATGTCATACGTTTCCTGGAAAAAGCGCAAGTGACTTACCTCTTCACTCTTGTCGTAGCGATGCTGTTCCCGTAAAAGCGCTGCCAATGATTTCAAAGAGTCCGCATGTGTACTGACAAGTTTCAGAGCGTTTTTGTAAGCCATTTCAGCCCGTGCTACGTCACCCTATAAGGAAAGTATTGCTTTCTGTTCAATTGCCTTCGTGGTCATTTCCTTCAGGCTTGAAGGTACGCCATACCCTCGAAGCAGCAGCTAAACCAATGTGATGATGGACATCGGCTGAGTTCGGAGCAATGGCTAGCGCTTTTGAAAACCACTCGTTTGATTCAGAAGTTCGATTCTGAAGAATGGTTCATTAGATAGCGAGGCGTAGCGCTGACCAATCCAAGTTCGATTACCTGTTTGTTACGGAGGTGTGCCATAGTCAGCAATGTCGGAATGTGGGTAGGGGCAGCATTGAAGGCAGCTTGGAAAAGTTGCTGAAATGGTGAAATTATTGCAAATAACTTGCCCACTTATCAACTAATCAGTTGAATAATTTGTGATAACGTTAAGTTGTGATAATTACTGATACCTCAGCTTTGTCATTGTTTCCAAGCAGTTTTTCTACTTCGCCATACGAATAGAATAACGAATGAATGAATGGATAAGATCGCGGGGCTTCTCGTATTGCCTGAAACAATTCGGGTTAGTATCCCTGTGACAAGAAAACTCGTCCAATTCTACACGCTGGAATAAGATCGGCTACCGAAAAGACTAGTGCTTAGCTATTGCGTGTAGTAGACCTACGCTGATCAAAATTTCGTTCACTGTCCCGACAAGGAACAAAAGTAATTTGCTTGGGAATGTTCTAGTGTATTCAAATGGATTTCGTACTCTCCTTGGGAAAGGACTAGGTTTTGAGGATCAGCCCTCAGAAAGGCCGCACACCCATTACCTCTGCTGTTCTCAATAAAGGGTGAATGGATGGCTTATACCAAGGAAGGAATCGTTTAGTTACATCCTTTGTAAGCAAAACGCCCTCTAGGCCGATACCTACGGTGAAAGGCTATGTACATGCATGAGGGTTGTTGATGGCTTTGCCATTCATGGTATCGACCAAAAAATATTCTGAATGAACTCTAAATGGAAGCTCTTTTCTCTTTCACAAACCTCATCCAAAACTTTAGCAGCCTCTTGAAGGTTTCCTTGGCTTAGCAGCATCCTTCCTAGACGAAATCGACAACTGGTCTGAGCATTTCGATGTTCTCGTTGAGCTTTGACTAAAGTGCCATCTATAGCTGAGCACAACTGCCAGGTCGAAATCGCACTTTCATCGTTGCCTAATGTCTCGTAGACAATTCCCAGATTCAGATGAGCTGAAATCGTATGCTTAAGCCAGGTACCCATGACACACACGGTAGGAAAACATGAAGTCTCAAACACTTGACTGCCGTCTTGGTATTTATCGAAAACGTTTTGGAAATGGTCCAACTTTCACCACTATCAGACTTAAACCAGTACTCACCCGTTGCAAATGTCCGACGAAAATTAATGGAAGCTCGGTAGCATTTGACCGATTCGCTGAAGTTTCTCATATCTTGATAGAGAACACCCCTGAAAAGTTAAATATCATAAAAATTCTCGAAGTCAAAGCTTAGAGTAGTCATTGTGAAGGGTAGATATCCTACTTTGAAGAGGGAAACTTAAAATTTTTAGTATTTTTGATGGGAAAAATTCTAATTTTTGAAATTTGTCAAAAACTGGATTCAATTATTGTTAACTCACAAATTGTACCATGTGTCTGCCATATTTGGACGATAAGCAAGAGCATTCTTGTAAGCTGCTTCAGCTTCATCCAGTCGCATTTGAGATGCGTATACTCGTCCAAGATTAGAGTAAGCTGAAAATTTTGACAAAAACTTTTTCCATTTTCAGAAAATCAATCACAGCTCTCATAGACATCTCCCGAATTTATGAGATGCCTGGAAAATGATCAGTGTATAATTAAATAGTTGAACAAATAAGTAGATAAATAAAGGGAAAGAAAAGTAAAACCTTTCGGGGGATTCAACTCCAGGGCACTTTTGTAGAGACTTTCTTCGTCTTTCCAATCTATATTCCTTTCGTAAGTTCTCATACCGTGAAGAACGACTATCATAAATCCAAATGACATTGCTGACTTCTTGCCGAATCTGGAACATTCAGGCAACTAACTCGATAAAAACCATACAGGAAAAGGAGAGTTGTGTTTTGGAGCGCGATCACCGATTTTTGAAGTATGAAAGAAGTATCGTATGAGCGACATGGGAGTAAAGAACTGCAATTTTGAATGCTCTCTACCTCCTTGATTAACGGTGATCGCAAAGCGGTTTACTGGCCAGGAGGTTGATTTACAGTTTTACGTAAGGTAAAGAGGCTGATCACCCCTCACAAAACAATAACTATCCGTACCTTGAGCAGCAAAGGTGATACAGCATTCCGATCAGAATGCAGTATCCCACACTGGGTAGGTAAAGAATTCGTTCTGCTGCCACGAAGCCAACATAGAAGAAAAGATTTGATGAAGGTACGTACGGTAGGATCAGCAACAACAATGCAAGCAGAATCATCCGAGAGAGCTCCTGAAAAAAAAACATAGTCGATTAGAGGATTTTGATTATTTGAATCCATTAAGTGAGATTAATCTCAGAGCATCACCAGAATTGAGTGATATTCGTGCTAACCGCTTCAGGTGAGAGGTGAAACAATCTCTTCTCACCTTGGCATCGCTGCAATTGACAACCGAATTCCGAGAAAAACGGCATCCTTTTCGACCAGCTTCAGATTTCTTAGGTTTAACCACCCAGAGGAGATCTTCAATCATCCCACTGCTTTGGATGAGAACACAACCACTCAGGAAAAGGCTCAGGTAGAACGCCACAGAGGCCAAGAAACGAATGTCAAACGGCGAAACCACGAGTGGAACGGCATCCATGGACCAGTCAAAGCTAAGCTGAAAGGAAAGCAGTTGGCCAGAGCAAAATTCTAAACTGTATCGCACTCTATCACGGCCATATATGCACTCTTTGAATTTTTGCATCGCGATCAACTGAAAAGTTGTCATCGCCGAGCTAGGCTTCTAATTCCTCAAACTATAAATGGGAATGAATTTTAGAATTATTCAAATTCAAAACTTCAGGGACGTTCAAAAATATGTATTTCAGCCATAACCATTTTGCTTTGTAGTTGTTAAGTTAGTTTAAAAAAAACAGAACCCAACTTACAGTTTTCGGGTAGCAGAGGAGCTGCAGATGGAAGACAGGCAAATAAAGAAACGTAAGAGTGCGTGTCAGCATGGACGGATTATGAGCGACAGGATTGTCTGACTTGGAAAAGCTGTAAAGCAGGCAGTGTTAGAATATGTAGGGTTCCCTTTCAGCTCTCTAAAGTAGTTAGCATGATTGTTTCCCTAGCCAAAACCTTAAACGAACCTGGGTGCTTCGAATGAGTTAATTGAATGACGAATCGTTACCAACGTAAGAAAGACGAGAAATAAGCCGGAAATTGATCGACGCAGCTCTGCATAATTCTGAAAA